AAGTTCTGCCCCAATTTCATATACGAAAGAGTGAGATTCTCTAGTCTGGGAATAAAAGACTACCTGGTAAAGCAATCCTAATCTGCTCAAATTGTGGCTCTTGATGAAATGCCCCTTCATGCCACATTTATGTAAATTTTTGAACATGAAGAATAAAACGCGCTGTCGAAGGGTAATGGATGCCTAGTTCCTTAATTTTATCTCATAAATGGCAATTTACACTCGATTTTTTTCTTTTTTTCAAACGCTATAGGAAGATTAATTCCTACTAAAGCTCTGTAGTTGTTCAATTACTATCATAGAGGACGATTACAGTAATTCGTTCATTTATACTACTTTAAATTAATGGACAATCCAGATTGTCGGTAGTATATGTGTATGTATGAATTCATTTCATGCAGGGATCCACAAGTACGACCTCGAACTCAGGACGAGATGAGTGCTGAAGCGTCGTTATATAGAGAGGCGATGAAAAACATCTGAAGCGGATACTCGTCGGATTCGCAACAACATCTCACACTACATGGCTTTCCACAGTATTGCCTCCATAAGAAAGTTCAGTTCCTACTTGAAATATATAATGTTTATACTTGGACGTTGTTTACACATTGTAGTGGCCGTTGTGGTGGGCCAAGGAGTAAATATGTTCCCTTTTGCTGCAGCAAATCTATGAATGTTATGTTCTTGACAATTTGGGTACTTGGGTAATCCGTCACAGCCGTTGACGACGGCTTGTCTGGGGCAAAATTGGCAGCGCCTTTTTACATGTCTCAGTGATATATGTAGCCATTCGCAAAAGTACTTCTTGCCAGTTCACCACATGCATATTTACTAATTGGAACCTAAAAGTGCAACGTCAAGTGAGCAATTGTGTAGCTGCTCGATGACAAATGACTCTCTGGACAGTTCTGCGGCGTAAAGGGCATATTTTCTGATGCGATAACTCTTTTCCATGAATTGTTAGTTGATATCTTGAACTGATTATAAGCAATAAATCGCAATTAAGTTGTGTTTTATTCCTTTGCAATTTGAAAATTTCATTTTCACAAGGCCAGCCCAACTAATTTTAAATGCAGTCTTCGAGCTGGTGCCACTCCTTCAGCCATAATAATCCTACTGAAATGCATGTGGTTTTTATGAGGAATCCACCTCGCTGGCATCGACGATGCAAGAGCTGAAGGCCAGGCCATCATTTACTGATTTCTTAGCATATGGACGTCCTCTATAGAAAAATTATCGAAGGAAACAAAAAACAATCGAGAAAGTACGTCCTGATTCTTCTATTCATCGACTCCGAGCATCCTA